GAGAGAGAGAGAGAGAGAGAGAGAGAGAGAGAGAGAGAGAGAGAGAGAAGAAGAGAGAGAGAGAGAGAGAGAGAGAGAGAGAGAGAGAGAGAGAGAGAGAAGAGAGAGAGAGAGAGAGAGAGAGAGAGAGAGATTGGATGAATAAAGAGAAGAATGGTAAAACTGAGAGCGTGTATACTCTGTTGCCAATCTCTCCCCGACACCCTATATCCTGTGGGGGACATAGCCACCCCGTTCGCCCCATAATCGTTTCTCTCGTTCCGCACACTCTCGACAGTGAATGAGAAAAGAACAAGGACTTCGTTTCGAGTGGAAGAGAGAAGAGGGATAGCCACGTGAAAAACGAAAGATGAAAATGAAAATACGAGAGAGAAAGAGAGAGAGAGAGAGAGAAAGAGAGAGATATGTGTGTACGAACGAAAAAGAAGAGATATGATCTCCTCTACGGGGAGATGAAAAAAAAAGAGGGAGGAAGAGAGAGAAAGAGAAGAAATAGAAAGAACTGAGGGGATAGTCAGAAGCAAGAGTGGCGCGGGAAATGAAAATAGAAAAGAGATAGTGCTTAGGATAGTCCCAAGAGAAAAAGAGCGGTAGAGAAGTAACAGATGAAAGGTAACGAAAATCGGCGAGGAAAGAAAGAGGCAGAAAGAAGAGTGAAAAAAAGAAGAAGAAGCGAGATAAAGTTGATAAAAACAGCACAGATACGAAGAAAAAATTCATGGGCGAGATGTGAATAGAAGAAAAATAGAATAGCAGAGAAGCAACGTTGGAGAAGAGGAGACGAATAAGAGCGATGAAGTAAAAAAAGAGAGCCAACGAAAGCGAGAAAAAAAAGAGACGAAAGAAAGACAAGAGACATAGAGCGAGCACATGATGAAATTAACACGGATAGAGAAAGGATGAAACAGTTAAATCAGAAAGGATGAAGTGAGAAGCAGAGGGACAGGCAGAGAGGGAGATAGAGTTAGGGAGAAATATAGAGAGAAAAATAGCGTTGAAGAAAGATCGAGTAAGGGAGAAGCAGAGTAAGAGCAAGGCTATAGCTACTGGCGTCCCGACCCGAACTCTCATCCCCCGTTGCCCCATTCCTGTCTCCACCTCCCTAAACTCTCCCCTTTCCGCGCTACCTCATCTCGAGCGTTCCCTCAATCCCCCTGGTGCCGCTTCCACCCTCGCCCACCATAGCACAACTACCCACCTATCCAGCCCACCGACCAACCATACCACACAGTAACACCCCGACCGACAGATCAATACCTACCAACTACCAAGCTGCTCCCAGATTATCATTCTATCCGTCCACTTTGAACGGCCCCGAAAATCGAGTGGACACACCGGCCCGTATAGATCCTCTTTCTCTTTTTCTCTTCCTCTCTTTCTCTCTCTCTCTTTCTATATATATAGTATATATATGTATATATATATATATGTATCTCTTTCTAGTCCACTTTCAATTGACTTTTTTTCTCAATTCACTAAAATGTGTTCAAGAGAAATGCTACTACTAAATGCAAACTGCGATTAGAACGTCCAGTCATTTTATCTATAGACTATACAGAGTTCTGTAACCATTCTCTCTATCGTTGCTAGATTAATGCGGCCAAGAATTTAGTTTCGACGTTCAGTTTCCAGATACTGACGAGGTGGCTTACACGCCTCTCTCTTTCACTCTGTATATACTCTGTATATACTAAGTCTTGTCCAAGTGTAATTCGCTGCAATGGCTGATTGAACTTCGTTCAGGGTTCCATTGGAACATTTAACGTTTAAAGCATCCGGTTTTGGTATTAGGATGCTTTCGATGAATTGATCGATAATTAATGAATTTGCGTGTAAAATTAAAATAGTAAGATGATTTCTTGAAAACAATATTTAACAGTGACAAAAAGAATGTGTAAATTCTTGAGATTCGATAAGCCGATTTTGATATACATAAATTCTTTGAATAAAATTATTTCTTTTTTTTTTTACGTTTTGAGCGAGAGTTCAAGTTAACGAATGTACATAAGAGTGAGACAAAGAATGGGCGAGAATTATTGCAAAGAGAAGAGAAGTTTTAAAGTATTTATTGCTCTTTTTTCGCATCTTTGTATTTCGGCCCAATTGTCTGCTTTTTCGTAATGAGTCAGCAATTTTTCAAAGCAGAACGACCTTATGATCGCATACGCGTTACGTCAAATTAAAGAGCAACAGGTGTCTCTGCTGATCATTGGATGTATTCCGTGTTAAAATACTAGCGTTATGATATGATGAACACTGTGACAACATTCGCTTCCTTTTGAACTGAATATTATTACGAAAAACACCGCAGTAAAACAATAAAAGAATAAGATTGATAAGATAAATGTTGATCGATTTGAATGAATTGTTAGAAATTTTTCTGATCCGATCAGATGATTTGTTATAAATATGTTATAACTTAAAAAATGTTAAAAAATTATAGCAAAGTATAAAATTTATTCCTTTTTTATATAGAATATCTTTCTTCTATTTGAATAAAACATTCACACGTATAAATTATAAATCGATATATGTATATTTTCAAATATTTCTATCTCATTTCATATTTACATACACATATATATATATATATATGTGTGCGTGTATAATATTTTTACTTATCATTCCATTATTTATTATGAATGAATAAGTTTATTAAATATTTCTATAAAGAATATAAAAATAGATATATTTATAGAGAATATTAATATATTCGTGAAACATTTTAAAGAATAAATATAAAAATAAATGTCAATTAAAGCTTATTTAATTAACTTATAAACAATTTGTATAGATGTATTAGATGAACTGAAACAAGAATAGAATGAGATGATGCGCTGAGAGATATAATTATTTCACTTTATTTCTATATTGTTTTGTTTAATACAAATTTTAATTGTCTATATCTTATAATACATAAATCTCATTTTTATATACTTAATTTTTATATTTATTTTGGTTTTTAGAATTTTTAAACTCACCAATAATTTTCATGAATATATTAATTATTACATTAATATATTAATTTATTACACATTTTTAAAAATTATTCTTATTGAATGCTAAATAAATATTTAGATAAATGTCTAGATTTTTTAAAATTTTAATCCAAAATATCAATTTAATATAAAAAAAAATATTCTGTTTTTAAAAAAGAATGATAAATACAGATACATTATAAATTATTTTTAAGAAAACTTGAAAAGTTTATGCCAAAAATGATTCTCGTCCAATCAATTATAAAATTTATAATTGTAATATGAAAATTTTTATCTTTAATTATTCACAATATTACAATTGTTTTACAATTGTAAATTAATTTTTTATTCTAAGGTTTTTTCATTATAATATAATTAAAAAAAAAAAGAAAAAATTAAGAACAAAAAAATGAAAAAAATACTATTGCATTTGATCGAAAAGTGAAAAAGAATATATATATTTTTTCAATTGACCTTTCGAGACAAAAAATTTACACGTGGGCCGCAAAAATACTCCATTAGGCTGACCTTAAGCATCCTGAACAAGGACGGTCGTCGCACAAGAGCTAAGCGATACGTCACCGACGACCGTGGCAACGTCATGAGGGCGCCTCCGGTGACGTCAGTGGCGTGCTAAATGAGATTAGATTCGCAAGGGTTTATTTGCGGCCTACGCATTTTCTGCCCCTGCGCTGCGAGTAAAATGCCACATCGTACTATGTTCCGGATGTGACTACTTACGACATCCCACATATCCTGAACGAAAATCGATGACCTTTGAACCAAAGGTTCAAATGAATTTCAAGCAATGCTTATATCATTTATAACAAAGGTCACATTTAGATGTAATTGATGTATTTCTTCTCATGGGATTTGATATTATTTGGAATTTATTAATCATTTAAATATTTTTTCAATTTTGTGAGAAATTATGTAAAAATATAAATATAAAATACAATATGAAATTTTTTAAAAATATTTTTAAAAATATTTCTTTTATATATGATTTTATATAAATATATGTAAAGTATTGTATAAATAATAAATTATATAAAAAATGATTTAATGAATAAAATATTTTTGAATAAAATAATTTCTTATAATATATATATCATAATAAAAATTCAAGTATATCATGATAAAAATAGATTATAGTAGAAAATATTTTCTACTACTATTTATTGTATTTATTTATTAAAAATACGTTTATATTTCACGTATGAATAGTTACATATTGACATCAATAAATTTTATGAATTAAATAAATTTAAAAAAATTATACTAACTATTTTTGACAAAATATTTTTGACGAAGTTTTTTTTTTATAACTAAAACTAAAGTATTTATTAAATTGAAGAAAGATGATGTCACTTGAAAATACATAATATAATTAAAATAATAATATTAAAATATTGTTACTGTTTCTTTCAAATATATTATATTGTTGATTAAATGTCATTTTGATTAAATTAAAATTATTACACTTAACACATACTGATTCTAAACTTTCTATCAATTATAAAGAGATATTAAAATTGAATTTAAATTGTTATTTGAAATAAAGGAATAAGATATTTCTAAAAATAATGATTTAAAATAATTTTAAACGAAATTAAAATATTTTTAAAAGTATTTCTACATAATATGACAAGCAATAACGGGAAGTAAAATTTTAAAATCTTATTAATATTAATTTATTACCCATAAAAGATTTTACAGCAAAGCAAACTCATACAATGTTGTATATGTTATAAAACACAAACATCGATTTTCAAAGTATTAATTTTTAACACCAAGCCAAGTTTTTTTTATTCATCATTTCAAAAAAATCTTTCAATTTCTATCATACTTATTTCTAATTAATTTTTTTCTCGATTACATTTTATTTATACATATGCATATTTGTTTATTTCAAGAATATATTCGTTCTTTTTTCTTTTTTCTCAACGTCAATATCTTTTTATGTGCAGGAACAAGTTATATACAAAATCTTTAGAATATTTGTGTTACCGTTCTGTTCTAGTCTTATATTGAAGCCAAAGTGCGGAATCAGAAGCGTGGCAGGGAAATGAACTGTTATTATCAACACTGTCTGCGTTTAATCGTAAGTTACAACGTCTGCATACTTCTCGTGGCGGCGAAAGGACGATAGGACAACTCGAGGTCGTGGCATGCGCCACGATAGGCTGGCAGCCACTGTGTGTGCATACACAGAGTAACCATCGCATATATATATATATATATATATATACTTGTGTATTGGCCAAGCATTGCATAGCAGAGACCCGAGAGACAAGTGAACAAGAAAAGGAAACAAAGAGTGGCAGAGACCTATAGGGAAAAAGAGAGAAGACATGGATGGAAAAAACGCGAAAAGGAAGGAGACTACGAAAGGTGAACGGTAAAGAGCATCGGGGAGAGAAGAAACGACGAGATGATGCACGAAAAGAAGAAAGAAGAAGACAAAGAAGAAGGAAAAGAAGCAAGAGAAAAGAAGATAATAAGAAAAAAGGAAATGAGGGGAACTGGAATGAAGAGAGGAATGGCAGAAAAAGACAAGTTTATAAAGAGAGGCGGAAGAGAGAGATACAAGAATGAGTTGAAAAGAGATGACCATCGTGAGAAAGAAGGAAAAAATAAAAAGAAAAAAAGGAGGAGAAAAAAGTTCTTTTCGATGGCAAGGCGTTCGGTGTTGCAAGCAGCGGCGGCATAAATCGGTCGAAGGGAAAACTTTTTGGGCGCAGAGTTACCAGTCGGTATCTTCTCTTCTCACGTATATATACGTATACACATATGTGTATGCGGTTTTATCTGGCGGTACTCGGGGATGTTGCGGGTTGATTTATCGCCTGTCGTTGCCATGGAAACCTCGGCGTGACCGGCTTGCGCGACACCCTCATATTCGAGTCGACTCTCTGCTTTACCCTCTCTCCCTCCCTCTCACTCTCATCCTACCTTTTCTCATCCTCTTGTATACTTACTGTCTTTCTCTGTCTCTCTTTTCAACGATTCTTATAGTCTTTATACCTTTTTCCTTTAAAATTCGTTCGTTTTTGTCTTGTTCACTTCCAGCATTCTTATCTATTCAAGTTATATCTCTCTGATTATTTACTTTTCTTACTTCTTTATCGTATCTCTTTTATCACTTTCTCTCTCTTGTTTTCTCTTTCTTCGAAATATATATATTCTATATCTCTCCTTATTACATTCTGACTCTATTTGTTTTTACATCGTATCTGTTTCTGTTGTTTTCTTCATTTTCGTTCATTCTTTTCTATGTTTCTCACTTTCTATCTCAATATTTTTCTTTTTTTTTCCTTATCATTAAATACATATTCACTTCTCTCTCTCTCTCTCTCTCACACACACACACATACACATTCACTCATTCCCTGTTCTTCTTTCTCTCTGTCTCTTTTCTCTCTTCCTAGATACAAGTTTTCTATTCCTCTGTCGTTCATATATCTCCCTCTCGTTGTTGTTTCTTTCCTTTTTCCATGTTGTAGTCTTTCTTTCTGCCACATTCTACTACTATCTCTTGTATTCCCCAACTCTTGTCTTTCTCTCCTTCCTTCATCCTTCTTTCTCCCTCCCAATACACCGATGGCTTCGCTCACCCACGCCTCGACAACCCCACTCCTTCGGCCTCTAACCTCCCCGACCGCCCTTTTCCACGCTCCTTGCTCACGTACATACGTCTGTGTCTCTTTCCCTTCATGCACCCCCTCAAACCACTTAGCCATCCGACCAACCACCCATCTGCCTATCTACCAACTCACCCACCCTCCTTTCACCCACTCTCATCTTCCCTTCGATATGCACCCCACGCTACTATCAGCTTTTACTCCCACGCGCGAGCTTGAAACCCCCCAGAGGAACGTCAAGGAGGCGACTACCAGAGAAGTTCTCTTTGCAAAGAACGAGAACTCCGCCACCTCCTCGTCTCCGCCGCCACTCGCGCCGGCAACAACCCCTCGTCGCTTTTACCTCTCTCCATCTACGCCATCCGCTCCGCCAATCGAGTGTCGACTGGCTGCTGGCTGGTGCACGTTTGCGCTACTGGGCTTGATCGTTCCATCGTGATCTAGATAAAGAGTGTTATCTAACCGTGCGGCTAATTAACCGGCTCCTTGTCTAGTTACTAGAAGTATTTTCCTTTCTTTGTCTTCAAAAAGCAATTGTTAACCAATCTTGAGAATGTGACTTTTCCTGATTTTATAAAATTATCAATTTTATTAAAATATCTTGAGAAATGAGATATATTTTGTTATCGACAGAGTTAACAAACTTGAAACAATGAAATAAAATTTCTTTTTAAGTTATAAAAAAATAAAAAAAGAAAAAGATATGAAAATCTTTATTTAAAAAATTAAAATAGTTTTTTCTTATTGAAATTTTAAAACAAAATTTTATTATGTTGAGTTATCGGCCGCAGGTAATTTCCAGTAAAATATTTTATCTTCCGCATTAAAATTCTAGTCAAATGAAAAAAAAGAATTTTCTAAATAATAAAAAATTAAAATCCAAATTAACCAATAATTTTGCTATATATATATATATGATATAATATGTTAATTATTTATCTGATTATTTTTTCATCTAAAATCAGAACTTTAAATCAATCATCAATTAACTCTTACAATAAATATAATATAAGTGCAACTCTGATTCAGTATACGGATTTTATTCAACTGAGAATTATATATAAAATTTTTACAATTAGATTAATTTTAAAAAAATATAAAAAAAAACAAGTTTCATAATGATTTCAATTACTTTTACAAATAATATTTCTCTTTATTAGCTAACTTTCAAATCACAGTTTATTTTTGGATTATGAAATTATTGCACATCTTTATTGATAATCTTTTCTATTTTATATTTGCAAAAAATTGATATCAATTTATTTAGTAGATTAGTAGAAATTTGTTTTAATTCTTTGTTTAAATTTGTCTAATATAAAATAATATTTATTATTTTATTTATGATTATATTATTTATGATTGGATTCTTTTTGTTAAAATTTATATTTTAAACATTCGATTAATGCAATTAAAATTGAACTAAATATAAATATTTTGAAATTTCTATTCTATATTATTATTAATATTTTTATATTAATATTCTATTTTTCTATCTTTACTATATTTATTTAATAATAAAATTAAATATACATTAAAATATATAATATGCAATAATAAAATAATAGAAAATTCACGTATGTTTATTATTTTTATTATAAATGATTAAAGCAGAATTTTAATATGATTGAAAATTATTTTTAATATAATAATAATTATAATATGAGTAGTATGTTTTGTTATCGACACTTGATAAAGAAGTAATATTAAGATAATCCACATCTTATATTATCATAACTAATATTTTTGTGTTTTTCAACATTAATATATATTACAATATGTTTTAATTTTATGCTCTATTCAAAATTAACGCATATTGAATATAGAATCTATATAAGTTGATATATATAATTCTTAAACGTATAAACCTTATGTCGGTATGGAATTATCGATTTCTGTTATTAAAATTTAGAGTAAATGAAACAAGTATTTTTTTTTTTTATTTAAAGAATGTAATTAACAAATAAAATTGAGAATTTCAATATATTTAACTTAAATTTTAAACTTATTTATTTTATTATATTTTAAATTTTATATTTTTTCTTAGATTTTAAGATAATATGTAGAATTTCTAATATCAACAATAAGATGAAATAAAAAATTACTAAATATAATTATTAAAATTGATATGATGGAAGATAATAATATTAAATTAAAAGAAAACGATAAGATATATAAGATCAGAGCGATAGATTGAGACAAAGAGAATATTCCCGAACAGTTTCATTGTTATCGACCCGTTGGTATTCCCCGGCGTCATTGGTAGCACGATCACGTGGTCTCTATCGTTTTCCAACCACTCAGCTCTTTCGTACAATGCACACCATTGACGTAACTTTAAACAATCCTGCGTGAAAGGTCATAAGCGCAATCATAGTATAATTAACCTTTTATATCTTGTCATGTATATATTATGTCATCTCGAATCTTTCGTATTTATTTTTTATGGTGTGCAAAAATTATTCTTTTGATCAACACGTGAAATTCATAAAAAATAATATTTAAGAAAATAATTGTTTTTTTTCACGTCTATAATAATTAATTTTTTAGGAATAATCACTTTCAATAATAAAAAAAAATTTCTATGATATTCCTTTTCTCTTTTCTTTTTTCTTTTTAATTAAAGATTTATAATTTCGAAATTTTCGTTGTATATATTTTATATATGCATTATTGTTTGACTATATATATATTATTTCCATCAAATATAATTTAAAATGCAAATATAATATACAATATTTTGAATATTTTTCTTTTTTGTATTACTTATTATCAGTAAGAAATAATAAATTATTTAATTTATATAGCACATGATTTAGAAATGTTTTAATAATATTTTCTATATTTTCTTTTCGCGCACAATTTAATTAACTCAGACAATAGGGAATTATCAAGCCACATTGTGGATGCAGATGTAAAGCAAGTTGCATATAATTAAGCACGATATGAAAAATATCATATCAAAAGCATGATATTTCTGTTTTTGATATGATAATTAATAAAGTGACTAATTCAAGTTCTAGTATAGTTCAGAAATATAATGGATTTCAATCTAATTCGTCATTAATATGCAACTCATTGATAATTCTCTTTTTCTTCGGTCACGCACGCAATATGTCATTTACATATAGGTAAAAACAATGATTCGTAACAACATTACTATAATTATGACAAATATTGTGCAACATATTTATTTATAAATGAAGTTAGATATATATTCTTTTTATCATATATAATCAATAAAAAATCAATTCCAATTATTTGAATGATTCAATTTTCTCTGAAGCAGTATTGATTTTTATATATTTATAATAATAATAGCACATTATTCTTTAATTTTACATGAGTTATTTCGCACGTATATGGAATAATGCATTACGATAAGAACATATGTTATCTGTCAGTTATCTGGAACGACTATGTGAATTTCAAGAAAATATTATAAAAAATTATAAAAGAATAGGTCAAGCTTGAATATTTTATAGTATCGTCTGCAGAATATGGTATATAAGTCGAAAGTAAAATTCTCTGTAAAATGTTTTTCGCGTAATTTTGCAGTTAAACTGTCCTTATAGAGAGTTCGTTATGTTACGTTTTGCATGGATTGCTGCTTTCCTCATATTGATCGGATCTGTTTGGTCACAGGTTAGACTTGACAAAACTTTCGTGTTTCAGAAACTTACTTATATAAGCAAAATACTTTCTACTAACAGAATAATTATTAATTATCTTGTTATATGTTTTTTTTGTTATTAGTAATTATTATATAATATTAATATTATTAAAAACTTTTTTTATTATTATAGGAAGATCTTTTTGAAGAAAAAGTTGGGCATCGTATCCCAAAATTTGGCTTTACTTTTCTCGAACCTTTTCGAAAATATTTTTGTAAGAGTTTTTGTCATTCATCTGAAGTATATATAACGAATCTTGCATGTGCTATCAAATGTCCTGAATTATATCTACCTTCAACAACAATGGCGCCATCAACTACAATGTCTACATCATCTACAATGTCTACATCAAGTACATCTAAGATGTAAAGTTGATTAATACAGTAATTGATTAATACAGTATAAATGATAATATGCATATCTAAATATATAAATCGCCATAATATTAAATACAAATATTGTATTATGATATAAAATAAATAACACTTCTTATCTTATTCTTTATCACTAATTAATGAATAAAATGAATTTATTAATAAAATTTTATGTATAACTTGTTCGATTTTATATTTTTGAATATGTGTTGCAAATTTCCATATGATTAATTTATATCTGCTCTGTATGTAGGATGACATCATTAACATCGATATTTCATGGTATGTTGATGTTAATTTCTATTTTACCATAGATAAAATCAGATAAAAACAAACGAGGTAAAGATATAACTAAATATAGATTTTTAGTTTGTGACATAAGCACACTAATCAATATGTTTTTGTGATTTAAATTTTTGGAGCTCTAAAATCCTATTACCATTTTAGTATCACTCGCCATCATTACCAACAGCAAAATCTGATTATGACAGGATTCTGAGTGGGAATTATAAATAATGAATTAAATTAATGAATTATATATATCTTAAAATTACAGAAATTTGAAATACTCAATTGTTAAATTATTTGACGAAGTAGCGAGAAAATTAATGAAATTTCTTCAATTTTTTAAATAATAATTATTTTTGATTAATTAATATTAATATTAATTATTATACAATAATTCCTCACTGTTCAAATCAGCACCATATTTGAAGTAAAAGAAAGAAAGGAACGAATACTTCAAATATAAAATTTTCAGAAATAATAATAATGATAATAGATTGATTTTCAAGGAATTAATAAAAAATTATTAGTTTTAATATTAATGATAAATTTTAATATTGTATTAAAAATTGCATATCCAGATTAATACATAGAATCCAAATATACTGATACTTATACAATTTATTAAATATAATTGTTATAATCGAGTATCAAATTAATTGACGTAATAACAGCATAACATAATAACAATCTATTCTCAGAATTTTTAAGTTCTTTAATTAATATTTATTAATATTTAATAATTAATGTATACTCTTTATAATTCTTCTATCTAATATTTAATTAGACAGTCTATTTGAAGTATTTTACAGTAACTATGAGAAGAATATTTTTATTTACACATTGATTTTTTTATACTCCTATATTTCACTAAAAATAAAAATATCAATTCGAATAATTTATCTAAGGATAAAATAATTTATTTAATCTATTATAATATATATAATTATATTATATTATATAACATATTATAATATAATAGATTAAATCTATTATATTAATTTAAATCTATAAATATATATATATCTATAAATATATATATACAGTATTTAGTAAATCAAATATTTTTAACATTTAATAAGTCAAATATTTTTAATTTCTTGAAAACGAGTTATCAAATTTTTGATGAATTATTGATATCATTGGTTACTTCATTTAAATTGATATTCAATAATGATAAGTATAACGAAAACAAATTAATAACATTAATAACATCTATATGCAATATCTAATAGTATACATAGTTTTTACTATTAATAATATTTTGGAAATTAATAAATTCCCGAAATTAAAATTCTATATGAGATCACTTTTCTTCTCTTCAAAGATCATTTTTTAAAAATCAATTAATTCTGATTTTATAAGATCAATTAATAATATTTTTTCCGATTATTTACTTTTAAAATAGAATTTTCTCTTTGAAAATAATTTCTTGAATTTTTTTGTAGCAATAATTTATTCAATTTATTTTTGAGAATATTTATTTATTTAAGAAACTAGGATAAAAAATCGTTAAAAATTCTTTGTGAATATTAATTTAAAAAACTACAAATATGTCAAATATGATGTCAAAAAATAATTCTGATAATATTCAATAATCAATTTAACAAAGTTCTATAGATCTATATTCAATCTATATTCTATCTATATTTAACTAAATATCAATAATAAGAAAAATTTAATATTTTTCAAGAAAATATAACTAATGAAATCATTAAAAAATTAATTTTCTTATTGACAACAGTAATCGACAAGTTTCAGTTCTTTTTATAGAGATGGCGTTACTAGTTAAGGAGCGTAATATAAACTGGCAACAAACAAAAATTGATAAATTATAATCCTTTTAACTTATATCTAATATTATGTGATTTATTTAAAGATCATTTGAACAAAAATGCATAATTATCTAAGTAGAAATTACTAGATATTTTAATAGAGTAAAAACAAATATGAGAGGATATTAAGTATATTAGAGGTAATCTTAAAAGAATTTTTTTCAGAGAAAAAGAGTATTCACTATTTGAGCAAGAGAAAAATCTTTTAAGAATTTCATACTATTTCTCTTCATTAAAATAGTTTTGGTATCATTTATTTTTCCCTTCTTATGCCTATAAATTACATTCATATAAGAATTATTAATACTAATTTAAAATTAATCTTCTAAAAACGTTCCACGAATATGTTAATATAATAAAAATTATATATAATGAATATGAAAATAAGACTACAAATATTCAGAAAAGAATAAAAAAAGATATTATAATCATATAGATGATAATAATTTTTCGGATGAAACAAATAATAAGTAAATATTAAAATCTAAAAATAATAGTAAATTTTTTATACTCTGTATCGATTTATTGTAATTTAAATTTAAAAGATATAAGAAAAATATTTACAAATTATGGCAAAAAATTATAAAAGAAAAAATGAAAATTAGGAACGAAAAGGAAGAAAAAGAATTTGGAAAAAATTTTTTATTAGTATATATATATATATTTTGATATTATCATTATATTGATAAAAAAATCATAAATAAATTTCAAAAACTCGATTATAAACTTTCATTTAAGATATAATTGGATATTAGATAATAAAATCCTAAGATTAATAGATAATTTTTGTTATATAAAATTCAAATATAATTAATAAAATAAATTAAATTTTGTTAGATAAATCTAAGTATTAAGACATAGGCTAATTATAAAATAAAATAATTTTAATTATAGTCTGTATATATTTTTATATTTATTATATAAAATATTTATAAAATATTTTTTGAAGTGTAAAAACTTATAATTAAATATATAAAGATATATAGATAAAAGTATATATATACTATGGCATATGGCATTACAAAATGATTTTATTTTTTTTAATTAAAAAAAAAATACTTATAAATGTATAATAAATGTATATGTGCAAATGTAAAAAATTCTAATTAAACTATTGATTACGAAAAAATATGTACTGGAATACTATTTTATTAGTTCTTATAGATGGAGATAGTTTCTTATAG